TCAGTGACATTTAAGTTCTGCACAACTAAACGATAGACTGAGATATTATGGCATATCTGGATTGGAATATTTGGAATGCCTGGATTGGGATATTGTGGAGACCCTAGATTGAGATACTGTGGAGTGTCTGGACTGGGTGAATGTATCTAAAAGACGACTCATGCTGACCATGTTATGAAAGAATGATGCTTGCATGGTTCGTTTCTAATATGTGATCATATACAGCATGCTGCAATTTCTTGTAATAAGGAGCTAGTGAGTGAAGCTCTCTATTGATAGCAGAGCTCCAGCAGCAGAATTGTCTTGAGTTTCTCTGAAAGAAAGGCTTTCCAGAGTATGTGAATTTGTGATACGCCCAGTGCTGACTGTACCTCTACGCATCGTAGCTGCTTACTAAGTTTGCTTGGAGTGTGACCTGTTTAATATCAAACCTCCTCTCAATATTTCCCCTTTCTCAACATGCTGACACGTAGACTAACTCGATTAGTATCATGTCTAATCTCACAGTATCATCCAAATATCATCAATTATTAATTTACAGAAAGCCTATTTATAATCTTACACTCTAAAACACTCCTTCATTTCCTGTTTATCTCTATATAATGAAATCCCAGGTAAAAAGGTCAGTGCATGGACATGTTTCCACATTCTAACTTCCCTGCATCTGGCTCATTTCATTTCGCATTGCCTGATTGCATTTATTCCTTGATTCCTCATGCTTTCATACACCGATGTAGCACCATAGTGTATCCTATGAATACAGTTTTGCCATGGCATCTGCTGGACTTTTTGACAAGTAAGGGAAAGAAAGAAAGCGATTTGGGTCTTTGTAGCGCCTTGCATAACCACAGGACTGGAATTTGCGAAAGGCAGCAACAAATTGGCAACATTGCATGCTCCTGCAAACAGCAATGTGGCAATGACCAGATAATCCGTTTTTGTAATGCTGATTGAGAGATGAATATTAACAATATTGTTTTGGGTTAAGTCCCAGCTGTGATGATAGAAGGATGCCGTCCGAGGTTAATATCACTTCTGAAAGATGGTACCTCCAACAGTCCAATACTCCCTCAGCATAGGCGGTCCTCAAAATACAAATGTCCAACTTAAGAACGCTCATGCATACAAATGTGATCCCAAACAGGGCTGTATTAATAGTAATTTTAAAGATCCAACATGCAAATGTTGAGAGCAGACATTTGAGATTGTCCTGTATTGTGTTCCAAATTTTGTGCAATTTGACTTGTGAGTAGACTCCAGCCCATTCATCACATTGCCTGTATAGAATAATTGAATCCCTACATTGTGGAAACAGGCCATTCAGCCCATCCAAGTCACACCCATCCTCCGAAGAGCATCCTACCCAGACCCACTCTATTCCTGTAGCTCTGCATTTCCCATGGCTAATCCACCTAACCTGCACATCCCTGGACACTATGAGCAATTTAGGATGGCCAAACCACCTAACCTATATGGCTGTGGAGTGTCAAGTTTAACTTCTGTGCTCATGTCCTGAAGTGGAATTCAAACCGACAAATGATTCAGAGAGTGGGAGTGTTGCCTATTGAGCCATCCTGTTTCTAGTAGAAACAGGTCCTTTGCAAACGTGCAATGTATTTTACTCTTCTGCTTGCGGCTATTTGAAAACAAAGGAAGATGAAAATAAAGAGTGAGTGGGAAGGACCAATTTACTTCCACTCTTTGTTGCCAACAAGTGCATCGTAGGCTTTATCTGTCCCTCTTGCTTCAGAGACCTGGCTTGATTATCCAGTCCCAGCTCTGAGCAGGCCTCCCTGCTTCCCAGCACCATGTGCAGAGTGCCTCCACTGGTTTAGACTCCTCACTGAGGGCAGGGGTTTCTGGTGGCAGAGGCTTGCACATGTTCACACTACTGCCTCACCAGATGATCGGCCTCTGGTGCTTTCATTATGAAAAAACTTTTTGTGCCATTCACTCAAGTCTGTCTGTGTCATCTCATAGCAACAGGAATAGGGGGTGGGGGGGGTGGGGGGGAGCGGGTGGTGGGGAAGCATTTTACTCCTTGAACCTGTTTTACCACTCACTAAACTCACATTTAACTCCAGGCATCTTAAATGGGGTCCGGGGTACTTGGGGGATCTGCAATGCTAAATTCAGGGGTGCTGTGCTCAGGCTGGGGTAGTGGAGCCCTGGGCCACATTGGGGCCCAGGGTCTCTGACCCTGCTAACTCCACATACCTACCTGCCTTTGCTTCATGTCTCTTTCAATAACAAGAATATGTTTATCTTACATTTATAATTAACAACTGGCTCTGCATTAGTTGTCATTTGTGGGAGAGAGTTTGAAGTTTCTAACATGCTTTGTATGTAGAAATGTTTCCTATTTCATAGTTTTCATATGCAAATATGTGTCATCCAGCTGTACCTGACTTTCACCTCTCTCTGTCTTATCACGTTGCATGTTTAACATTCAGTCCAGGATGAGGTAACATTTCCTTCCTTGGGAAGACCAAAGTCATTGCCCTCAGTCTTCATCACAAATTCCATTCCCTTGGCACATATTCCATAGCATTGTAGGTCTACCTACAGCACATGAGCTGCAGTGGCTCAAGAAGGCAGCTTGCTACTACCATCTTAAGGGCACCCAAGCATGGCGAAATCAATGCTGGCCCAGCCAGCCATGCCCTCACTCCATGAACAAAAGCTGGCACTAAACGTAGTCCTCAGTCTTAACTCTTTCAGGGCTGAATACCTTTTACAACATCTCCCATCTCTTATCCTCCACAGTCAGAAGTTACATGACACCAGGTTATAGTCCAACAGGTTTATTTGAAATCACAAGCTTTCAGAGAGCTGCACCTTCATCAGGGGCAAGTGGGCATTGGTTATTTACATGAAGGGTTTTAAAGGAAAAGCAATGTCAGACAGTCCTTCTGTAATGGTGAACCTACTCCAATATTTGTCAGAAATCAGGTATCTGCAAATCCTCGTGGTATTAATGATAAGATATTTACCTTGCCTGGTTTCTAGCAGGTAAGATAAATATTTAAGGCCATTAATTTTATTTCCAGTTCAGAAGAATCTTGGATTGAGCAAGTTTTAAAAGCAGCTCAATTCAGAAAACAATACGGTTGAGTTCAGAAGCAAGTTTGGTTTTTCTCCTGGGAGGAGTTCAGAACAGTTCAAGGACCCAGTTGCCTCATCAGAAGGGTCTAGAATGTGCAGCTTTCAAACCAGGAGAGTTTGGTTAGAAATCTGCTGGTTATTAGAATGGAGAAAGTTTAGGCAACTGATCAATTTGTCTTCACAGTCCACAGCAAAGAAACCATAAAGAGACAGTTAAGAAGAAACCTAAAGTTGAGATGGTGGGGGGAACTTTTTCTGGACTTGTAAATCTACAACAAATGGTGTTGGGAAATAGGATGTGACTTTACTTTGCTGTGTGTTTTTAAGATTATTCTATCTGTCTTCTATATTTAGAAAACTTTTCCTTTTATTTCTTTTTTTCTGATAAACTTGTGTTCTGATGTTAAAGAGAATGTGTAGCCGTGGGTTAATATCTTTCAGTAATTTACCACCATGTTCACTAAATAAATATTTAAAAAGTGATCTATCAAGCCAGGTTTTATTCTAGGATATGACTTGTTCAGTCTTACTATCAGCTGGGATCATAACAGTATCCTCATCTGGATGAATTCCCATTCCCATTGTGTGCACTGATCCAATATGCCAACATCTCAATTTCAAAATGGTCAGTTTTGTATTCAAATCTTTCCAGAACCTCACTCTTCCACATACATTCATGTCTATATTCCTCAGGGATTCGCCATACTTCTAACTCTTAACTTTTCAGGATCTCTCAACTCCTTCACCTCACCGTTGATTACCTTACTTTCTGCTATTGAGAAACTGGGCTCTCAAATGCAACTCCTAAACTTCTCCCCACCTCTGTTTCTACTCTATGATACTCTTAAAGACATACATCTTGGCTGAATACCCATCCTAATACCCATCCTAATATCACCTCCTTTGGCAGTATAGCTTAGGTTTATGCTTCATTGGGTGAGAATAGCAGTCCTGATCTGAGTGAAACTTGATGGCTCTGGCCACTGAAGGAAGGGTGGAAATACTGCCTAAAGGGATTGACTATTTGACCCAATAGGTTTTCAAACTATCTTTCAGCTCAGAAACTACTCTGATACTCGTTGATGTATGAACTGTGGCTCAGTTGGTGATGTTCTTAATCAGAAAGCTGTCAAATTAAGTCTCATTCTTGAGATTTGAGGATAGATATTTAGGCCGACATGTCAATGCAGTAACAATGGACTATCAGAGGTGCTCATTCTTAGATAAGGCGTTAAACTCACACCCTTGTCTGAGAAAGACTTAAAATCTTCTGCATGACTTTTCACAGAAGTGTAGGGGAGTTTCCTGTGGCATTTTGCCTAACGATCAGCACCCAGTCAGTATTTCTAAATTCATTGAGTGGGAGTTTGCTGCGTGTAAATTAGCTGTTGTGTTTCCTACATGACTACACTTTGGGATGGTGGGAAAGGTACTGCATTAATGTAAAAACACTTGTATTCATTGAGGTTTATTTCCTGTAAAACTAGGTGAGAGGAGAGACTTTCAATCGTAAGTCCAGGCTAGACACCATCACAGTTAAGTTGGGAAAGGAGATGTGCTACTCCATCATGACAAACCATTCTTTAGTCAAACTCTGATGTATTTTTTCCTTTCTGTTTAGCTCCCAGTGGGTTGTATCTTCCCTTCTTAAATTGGTCCTCTGTTTATACCTGTCTGTATAGTGTGCCATTACCACACCGATTAGCATTCTCAAAGGCTTTGTCTCATATGATCAACAAACTGCTTATTATCCATTGTCATAATTTTAATAAAACTTAGAGGCTGCAATTAGTCTGCATCATATATCTTAATCTTGAGGAAGGAGAGGATGAGGAGGAGACAAACAAAGACAGAGTTGTAATCTTACTCTGGGCATTGACATATTATGCACTCACCAACAGATATTGTCCAAACAGCAATTATTTTCATGAATGCTTTTGTTCTCGAGTTGCAGCGACTATAATGGATAGGGTTCCGTATTGCAATGTAGCGATCCAAAGATATTGCGCACAAGTGCATGATGGATGCAGTTGAAAATAGCACATCAAAATAAATCCAAATGGGACACAGTTTGGCAGGAAATGGCCAGATGTATCCTAAACAAAAGAACAAGTAGGTCAGAAAACATTTGGAGTATAACTGAACTTCAGATTTATTCTTGTTTTTAAATACTTACAGGCTTTAAATAATCTGCAGCAAATGTTTATGTTATTTAAGTTCCTGTGTGATAACTTAAGAATGAGAGCAGATCCAGAGTCCAATCTTTGGTTCAACAAAATATATCAAGACAATCTTCAAAAAAGCAGCAAATTCTGCTTCGTCATAAGTGGGATGCAGGGTAAAAAAGTCATCAGAGATTCAGGCCCTTATCATACTTTTTATATGGTCTGTATATACTTTCACAAATTGTTAGCTCTCCCACAATACACCAGTAACTTGCCACAAGACTGAACTTGAAGGAAAGTTTCATTTCTATCGTGCCTTTCATGACCTCAGGGTGTTCCAAAGAGTTTTTGAAGGTTAGACACTATGTGGTCAAGGCATTTATGATTAATTTTGGTGGGAGAGACAATATGACAAAGGGCGTGATTATATGCATATGTATCTCCCTAGAGACCTATGGAGATATATATGCATATATAACAGCTATACATGTCCACAAATCATTATAGGTGGCAGAGCAAGTTGAGGAATTTTTTAATAAAAAATGGGATACTTGACTTAACATACAGAGGCATAGGGTGGAATTTTACACTCCAGAGACTTAGTGAAGAAAATGGTAGGTCACTGAAGAGTCAGGAACATTCTGAAAGCTAAGTGTAAAATGATTTCACATTTTAAAACACTGCTATTAGTTGCTGTAATATAATGTAGGCATGTCTCTAGTTTCTAATGCAATGATTCATTGTAGGGATAACACAGTGTGGAGCTGGAGGAACACAGCGGGCCAGGCAGCATCAAAGGAGCAGGAAAGTTTCGTAAGAAGGGTCCTAACCCGAAACGTCAGCTATTTCTGAAGAAGGGTCCCAACCCGAAACATCAACTTTCCTGTTCCTCTGATACTGCCTGGCTCGCTGTGTTCCTCCAGCTTTACACTGTGTTATCTCTGACTCCACTATCGGCAGTTTTTACTATTTCTGAGATTCATTGTAGGGAATTTTCCTTTCAAGGGCAGTTACATTGATCTGAAACAAAAACAGAAATTGCTGGAGAAACTCAGCAGGTCTGGCAGCATCTGTGGAGAGAAAGCACAGTTAACATTTCGGGTCTAGTGATCCTTCTTCAGAACTGATCAAAACATTAATTTGTGAAGGTAGCCCAGGGAAGCCTGAGCCAGCTGATTCATGAACTGAATTGGGTTTTATGATGAATGGAAAAGCTTGAAAGTAAGTAACCATAGAGATCAGGCACCCAATCTACAGATCGGAAAGTAATTTTTGATAACATGTACTGCGTTTGTTAACAGAATGTACTCAGTGTGGGGGAGTTCACCACAAGTAGCTTAGGCAGAACTAAGTGATCCCACAGTCAACAGACCAGGTCTAATTGCTGCAGTCCTGCCACATTCGATCGTAAATGGAGATGGACAATTAAACAACTCACTGGAGGAGGAGGCTCCACAAATATCCCTATCCGCAATGATGGAAGAGCCCAGCACAACAGTGCAAAAGATAATGCTGAAGCTTTCACAGCAATCTTCAGCCAGAATTGCCAAGTGAATAATCTATCTCAGTCTCCCACAGCGGTCCCTGGCATTACAGATACCAGTCTTCAGCCAATTTGATTCAATCCACACAATATCAAGAAGTAGTTGAAGGCACTTGGATACTGCAAAGGCTATGGGCCCAGATAACATACCGGCAATAGTACTGAAGACTTGTGCTCCAGAACTTGCCACTCCCCTAGCGAAGCTGTTTCAGTACAGTTGCAAGACTGGTATCTACCCGACAATGTGAAAAATTGCCCAGGTATGTCCTGTTCATAAAAAACAGGAAAGATCCAACCTGGCCAATTACTGCCCCATGTTTACTCTCGATCATCAATAAGATGTCATAAACAGTGCTATCAAGGATCATTTACTGAACAGTAACCTGCTCACTGATGCACAGCTTGGGTTCTGACAGGGCCACTGAGCTCCTGACTCCGTTAGGGTCTTGGTTCAAAGGAGCTGAATTCCAGAGGTGAGGTGAGAATTACAGCCCTTGACATCAAGGTAGCGCTTGACAGAGTGTGACATCAAGGATCCCTAGCAAAACTGGAGTTAATGGGTATCAGAAGGAAGCACTTTCTGGTTATTGGCGAAAAATTATGTCAGCTCCAGGACATCTCTGCAGAAGTTCCACAGGGTAATGTCCTGGGCCCAACCATCTTCACCTGTTTCATCAATGGCTATCTCTCCATCATAAGACCAGAAGTGATTTCTCAGGTGTATTTTAGTTGTCAAGACTATCTAATACATTGTCATCATTTACATTCAATAGGAAATAGCCATCATGATTGATGAATACACTATAACTTTTAAAAGCCCTACATTGTAAACAAGTCATTTTTTAAAATATCCTTCCCGTGAAGAAAAGTTGCAAATTTCAAACTCTTTCAGAAATCTGAGGATTACAGTGTAATTACTTCTGAATGATTCTTTCCCGTCTTCTTATTTCCTCCCACAACAGACAGAATTCTCCCAACAAAAAGGCTAGATGTACCATCTATTTGCAATCCTCTGTCTACGTCAAAGTGGTGAATAAGAGCAGCTCATTGTGATTGTCAAGAACACAATACCTCCTGCCAACGCATTGACACAGGAAGTTGTGTTGTTGATGTCATTGTTGCTGCCACTCCTTCATTGCCCATTGTCTGCTTCACTCAATGCCTTCGTTTGCTGCCTAGCTCGTCAATCCCCTCATCAGTCTGCTCATCACTCCCCTCGCCACTCTGCTCACCAATCTCCTTGCTGCCCCTCTTGTTGCTTCACTTGGGGAATGAAACAGTGAAGGTTCTTTCTGAGCACCTTTGGGACTCTGGTTTTGCAATTTGTTTCAGACTAGCATTGCACCAAATAAACAGATTAACACTGGCACAATTGTAACTAACCATTTTCTGGGGACACCAGATTGGTACACTCCATAAATTTAAAGTATAAAGATGTATAACATGCTGGTATTTCCAAATTCTAAATTATAAAACTTATTGATGCAAGAATCACAAAATTATGCCATATTACCTGGGTCCTGAGGCACCACTAGCAGTGATTGGTGAGGGTGCCCCCTGCTGGCAGCAAGCACAGCCAGTTAACCAAATGGGCTTCCTTCCTCTGAGGAATATAACTCCATTGAACTCTGAGGAGGCTCAAACTAGGACAGTGGGTTAGTACACCATCAGAGCAAGGGTCCGTTATGGAGAAACATGTTTTAAATGCTCTTAATCTCACAGTTGAATAATTTTCCCTGTGTTAGTTCCAATCATCTTTTTCTAGGCAACCTGCAGTAATTAGGTTTCTTCACCACTGACTCAGGCAAGCAGAAAATAGGTCAACAAAATGGAATCACATCTATTTGATTAGGGGAGATAATTGAGATGACTGAGGTGATGCATATGAGACAGATTTTCCAGGGATGGGTAACCTCAAGGCAAATGAAGTAAATATAGTTTCTTTCAAAGGGCTCCCTCCAACTCCAGGAGCTCGTGTTTGCTACATTTAAATCACAACACTGCAATGACAGGGATACAGTGACCAGCAAAACCTCTAAGGGACAGTCAATGCTACGAGTTTTACGTAGGCTTAGGAAATTCAAAACCTACCCCTAGTGACTCACTTTGATGCTGAATTATATTGGTGCCTTTTGAAAAATAAGTTAGGACTGAGCTGTGCGCTGCTTTTGTTGTGGAGATGTGTTGACCAGGACATAGTCAGTTAGAGCTGCTGTCCAAGGTGCTATTTGTAGGGTGAAACCAATTTCTGCACATTGGAAATTTAACTTAAAGAATGCAATTGATGATCATGACACTTTCTTTTTCAATATTGCACCAATGTTCACAGCAAGGTTCTCAGTCCTTTTCCCACAATGCAGTCTGTTCTCTGTGGCTGAAGCTGTGGAATAGCAGCATTGGAACTGCACTGCAAAAGAAAAGCATCTAGTTCCTCTTTCACCATCCTAGTGGTCACCAAACGATTGACCAAAGACATGAAAACAGAGATACTGATCAAGCTAGGTTTGTACATGCTAGAGCTTTGAAAAGTAAAAGGATGTTTGATTGAAAGAAGATCCGGAGGGGTCTGGATAGGACGAAAGTAAGATGTTTCCTCTGCTGGGAGGGTCTAGGCACCACTGTTTCAAAATAAGATTTACTCAGAAGGCAATGGAAGCAAAGTCTCGGAACATTTTGGAGGCAGAGTTGGGTAGATCCTTGATACACAAAGGAATGAAAGGATATTGCGTGTGGGTGGAAATATGGAAGAGTCAGATCAGCGTTAAGGGGCTGAATGGCCTACTCCTCCTTATTTACATGTTCATAGAAAGCCAGCAGCTCTCGAATGCAAACAGTGCCATTGGGAAGGCTGGTCACTGTTGAAACCGCAGTCTCAGAGGGAGCTACAGTGGATGCCAGATGCCAGGGCAAGTGGGGTGGTATCGCCAGGGTCAGTCAAGTTGGATAAAGGCCTCAATTGATTCAAATGTGAGTGAGCCCTAGCACTGAAATCCCACAGCAGGTGGGTGAGGGTGAGGGTGAGGGCATAAAATTGGTGCGAATTGTGAGGTAAAGTTGAGGACCGTGGGATGGATCTTGTGGTTGCAAATCAGGCAGCTACAAACCCCAACCTTTCCACAAATGTGCATCCTCCAGGAAAATATGGAATTTGGCAAAGTAACATGAACAACATCAGTCTCTGGAAAATACGGGAGAGATGAGAGAACGGAAGCTTCCCTGCTATTTTGAAATGACTGCTTAACAACTGAGCTTCGCTAATGAGTCATTTTCCCACCGTTCCCTGTTTCGCTGGCCACCTTGTTTTCTCAGGACTGGATGAAAGTTAGAGAGTGCTTGCTGGTTGCTGTGATGATTGAGGTGACACTAGAATGGCAGAAGAAGGTCCAGA